CATCACAAACTTGGGAGGGGTGTATGCAGCTGTTCTAAGTTTACAGGGAGAGGAGACAGGTTACAGATGTTAACTACCTGGCCACAAGTCAGGTAAGTATAATATCATGACTGAGCTAGAATTTCTGTCAGCACTTAGCTCTATCCATTTAAGGGAGCTTATCTAAGAAAGGTGTTGAACAGTAGCTTTGAACTCACCTGATCTTTTTGTTTTATTTTGTTCTTATTCACTTATTTCCTTCTTTATTTATTTTAGCTGGTTCTGATTCTTATTTGGACCACAGGATGTTTGTTTCTAATCCCTTGTTTTCCTGTTTGTAAAATGTTGATAATAATACATATCACCTAAGTTTCTTATGTACATAAAGCTATTAATAAATGCTGAATCCCCATTTATCACTCAACGGGAAAAAAAAAAAAAGAAAGAGGAAAAAGTATCAACAACTGAAAAAGTGACCCAGATATTTGAGATGAAAACTGAAAGGAGCTCACGTATAAGTCATATTCACTTGGCACTTCCCCCTTCCTCTCTCAAGGTTTTTATTTTTTCCAGCCATCTTGCCTTACTACAAAATACAGGTTATTTTGGTTATAAATGAGTAGATTCTGTTTCGATTCGAAATGGGAACTGATGAATGTTTTAGGTAGACCAGATGTCTCAAAGCATTTTTTGTCCACCTGTTCAGAGAGTAACTGGATTGTTGGGGGACTGTGCATTGACAACTGGGGGAACCATAAGTGAAAAACAGATGATCCCACCCAAACACATCTGATCTCAGCCATATCACTACTTTTAGGTCTTAGGTAGGTGATGGATTGGAAATATATCAGGCAACAGAACAAGTAAGATAGTTTCTCACTGAGACTTAGATTGCCTAGTGGCAATGAGATTTACATAAATACTTTTTTAAAAACCCTGAAGTGATTTTTTTTCCCCTATTGATAAATTAATTCGTGCTTGCTACCAAGCATTTATTATGAATTCTTAATGAAATTAGTATCATTGGAATCATTAATAATGTCATTAATATTATGAATAATTAATGAACTAATATCACTTATTAGCAAACTAAGAAAAAGTGAATAGGAAGGAAAACTTCTCAGCTCACTATATAAGGCCGGTATGCTTTGATTTGAAAACCAGATAGAAACATCACAAGAAAATTACAGACCAGTATCACTTATGAATATAGATGTATACATCTTCAACAACATATTAGCAAACCAAAAGCAGCAATATATGAAAAGGGTTATACACAGTGGCAAGGTGTGATTTATCCAACGAATTCTAGGTTGGTTTAACATCTGAAAGTCAATGTAATATACTATATCAGTAAAATAAAGAATATGCCATTGAACACAGGAAGAGCATTTGAAAAAGTCCAACACCCTTTCAAGATAAAAAAAACACTCAACAAACTTGGATTATAAGGCCATTTCCTCAACCTGATAAAGGGCATCTACAAAAAACCCCATACCTAACCTTCTGCTTAATGCTAAAAGATTGAATGCTTTCCCTTTAAGATCAGGAAACAAAACAAGGGTATTAAGTCTCACCCCTTCCATTTATTATTGTGCTGAAAATTCTAGCCAGAGTAATTGAGGGTGGGAAGGAGACATTCTGATTGGAAAGGAAAAAGTAAAACTATCTGTATTTGCAGGTGAAATGATCTTATGTGTAGAAAATACTAAGAAACTCACTTAAAAAAAACAAATCTAATAGATAATTTCAGCAAGGTTGGGGGATAAAAAGTAAATATGCAAAAATCAATTGTATTTCTCTACACTAGTAATCAACAATTCCCAAATCAAATTAAGAAATCAATTCTATTTGCTATAGCATCAGCAAGAAAAAAAAATAATAGATATGTTTAATGAAAGATGTGATAAACTTGTATTTTAAAAGCTATATCATGTTGAAGAAGGAAATTAAAGAAGACCTAAATGGATATAAAGACATCCCATGTTCATGGATCAAGAGACTTAATATTGTTAAGAAGTCAATATTCTCAAAATTAATCTTTACAAAAGAATTTTTTTGTGAAGATTTTATTTATTCATTTGAGACAGAGAGAGAGAGAGTGAGTATAACCAGCCAGGAGGGGCACAGGGAGAGAGAGAAGCAGATTCCCTCTTGAGCAGGGAGCCCAACTCAAGGCTACATTCCAGGACCTGGAGATCATGACCTGAGCTGAAGGCAGACACTTAACCAGTTGAGCCATCCAGGTGCCCCTGATATGCAATTTTTTAAAAATATTTTATTTATTTATTTGAGAGAGAAAGAGCATGAGAAGGGGGAGGGTCAGAGGGAGAAGCAGACTCCCCGCAACGTAGGGAGCCCAATGCGGGACTCGATCCTGGGACTCCAGAATCATGACCTGAGCCGAAGGCAGTCGCTTAACCAACTGAGCCACCCAGGTGCCCTTTCTGATCTGCAATTTTAATGTAAACTTCATCAAAGTTGCTGTTGGCTTTTCTTTTTCCTCTCTTCTTCTTCTTCTTCTTCTTCTTCTGCTTCTGCTTCTGCTTCTGCTTCTTCTGCTTCTTCTGCTGCTGCTGCTTCTGCTGCTGCTGCTTCTTCTGCTTCTGCTGCTTCTGCTTCTGCTGCTTCTGCTTCTTCTGCTGCTTCTGCTTCTTCTGCTGCTTCTGCTTCTGCTGCTTCTGCTGCTTCTGCTGCTTCTGCTGCTTCTTCTGCTGCTTCTGCTTCTGCTGCTTCTGTTCTGCTGCTTCTGCTTCTGCTTCTGCTGCTGCTTCTGCTGCTGCTGCTGCTGCTGCTGCTGCTTCTGCTTCTCCTGCTTCTGCTTCTCCTGCTTCTTCTGCTGCTTCTTCTTCTGCTTCTTCTGCTTCTGCTTCTTCTGCTTCTTCTTCTGCTTCTTCTTCTGCTTCTGCTTCTTCTGCTTCTGCTGCTTCTGCTTCTTCTGCTGCTTCTGCTTCTTCTGCTTCTGCTTCTTCTGCTTCTGCTTCTCCTGCTTCTGCTTCTCCTGCTTCTGCTTCTGCTTCTGCTTCTGCTGCTTCTGCTTCTGCTGCTGCTTCTGCTGCTTCTGCTTCTGCTGCTTCTTCTGCTTCTGCTTCTTCTGCTTCTCCTTCTTCTCCTTCTGCTTCTCCTTCTCCTCCTTCTTTCTTCTCTCTTTTTTTTTTTTTTTTTTTTTTTTTGCAGAAATTGAAAGCTGACTCTAAACTTTATATGTGCATGCAGGGCTCCTCACAAGCCAACCCAAGCTTGTGAAAGAACAACACTGAATTACTCTCACTTCCTAATTTAAAATTTTACTACAAAGCTTTAGTAACAAAGACTGTAGTACTACCATAATAATGGAATAGAATTGAGAGTCCTAAAATAAATTTTTTCAGTTGGTCAGCTGATTTTCATCCAGGGTGCCAAGACCACTCAATGTGGGGAAGATTAGTCTTTTTAAGAGACACCGCTACAACAGTTGGAAGACCTGCATGCCAAAGAATGATGTTAGATCTCTTGCATTCACTATACTTCTGTGTGGCTTACAAAGGACCGTAGATCTAAATGTAGGAGCTAAAACTAAAACTCTTAGAAGAAAAGATAGAAGTGTATCCTTGTGATGCTGGGTTAGGCAATGGTTTCATAGATAAGAGCCCCAAAGCACAAGTAACAAAAGAAAATATACATACCACTTGCATTTTATCAAAATCAAAACTCAGAAGGAAGATACTTTAAGACATTTCAGGGTTCCACCCACCACTAGAGACAGCTACTATTCACATTTTTGTGTACCTTTCATTAGTATTTTATGTGTGTTTGTGTGATCATACAATATTATATATTTTGTTCTATAACATGCATGTTTTACAGGGTCAAAAGATATATCATTTTAATGGCTGCATAGTATTCTACCATATGAATATATTCAGAGTCATTTAATGATTTCCCAATTTTATATTTTATTTATTTTGTAATCTCTTGCATTTTCAATGTAATTACCAACAGTGTGGATAACCTTTAATAGTACCTTTTTATAATTCTTATTAGCACCATGGGATGATCTCCCACAAGTACCAGTTCTCTATGAGGATTTAGAAAGGCTTACTTCTACCTTTTAAAATTTTATTATGAAACAAATTATATATATACAAAATAGGAGAGAATATTATACTAGACCTCCACTTACCTGTCCTTGGGCTTGCTTGTTTCTAAAGTTATGCTGAGTGAAATAAGTCAAGCAGAGAGAGTCAATTATCATATGGTTTCACTTACTTTTGGAGCATAACAAATAACATGGAAGACATGGGGAGATGGAGAGGAGAAGGGAGTTGAGGGAAATTGGAAGGGGAGATGAACCGTGAGAGACTATGGACTCTGAAAAACAACCTGAGGGTCTTGAAGGGGCGGGGGGTGGGAGGTTGGGGGAACAAGGTGGTGGGTATTAGGGAGGGCACGTATTGCATGGAGCACTGGGTGTGATGCAAAAACAATGAATACTGTTATGCTGAAAAGAAACTTAAAAAAAAAAATAAAGTGTAGATGTAATTCAGCCTCTGGAAGGAATATATTCAAACAATGTGTGCCTGTCTCTTTAAACAGAGCATTTCCCCCTTGATATGTTAACTTAGAATCTATTAAATGCTGGTTCCTGTGTTGGTCTTTATACAAACTATTTTCTCTTTTATTTTTTAAATCTACTTTAAAGACTGTTGTGATTTTTTAGGTAAAGAAACTAAGAATTGAATAAACTAAGATGCACAGATAAAATTAGGTTTTAGAATCTGGGTTCTATCCAGGGTGACCAGTTTGCCCAGTATGGCCCTGGTTTGAACACTGGAAGTCCTGTATGCTGGGGAACTCCTAGTGCCCTGCAGCCCACTCATAGGCTAAGCCCTTGCCCAGCAGAATGGCTCATGCTATGACATCCTGTTTCCAACTGATGAATCTTGAAGACAGGGAAGAATTGGGTATTCCTGTCAGAGCATGGGCTATCTTTGATTTTAGAGTGTTAATGTCTGCACAACGTTGGATGTTTTATTTTTCAGATCTCTTCATGTGCTTGTGTGCAATGCAGCGGCTTTTGCTCTACCCTGGAGCCTCACCAAAGACGGCCTGGAGACCACCTTCCAGGTGAATCACCTGGGGCACTTCTACCTTGTCCAGCTCCTTCAGGATGTCCTGTGCCGCTCTGCTCCTGCCCGAGTAGTTGTGGTCTCGTCGGAGTCCCATAGGTGGGTTACAGTCTGATGTTTTGTTCACGTGGCCCCTTCCTTGTACCAGCTAGTGTTTCCCCCAGGCTTCCTTTCCCGAAAATGCTTTTCAGTGATGCTCCTTCAGAAAGTGTGGGTGCACTCAACCTGGCTTCCCTAGTTTTCCAGGGTCTTTCTCATGTTTTGAGATTGTGGAGGGTTAGTAGGGGGTTTTGTCTACAGCGACGTAGATGGCTTTTACAACTGTACTTCAGGCCCCTCATTGATTTTGCTTTGAGATGGAATAATAATTGATTAAATCTGAATGCCTGACCTTTATCGATTTGTCATTCAACAACTTCAACACCTCACCAAGAAGAATGTGCAGTTATTCTAGCAGGAGAAACAATGCAATTAAAGACTGTGAGATGAAATCCAATTGTTTTATAATGAGAAATTAGGGAATTCAATGCAGACATTAGCTGTGTAATTGTAGAAAGGGAAAGTACTGTAGTTAGAACATATTAGAAATCTGGCCATGCCTCTTTTGGTTAAAATTTCAATTAAAACATCAGATGGCACTTCTCTTCTATTACCATTAGGAGAATATCCAATTGACTAAAAAGGCATTTGAAAATTTCGTTGTATTTTCAGCATATTTGTTTCTAGAGTTGGATAAACAACTATTTGTCTAAAGAGAAGTAGTCGGAGAAGACAAAGGACTTTGCAGGTGAGGCTAGATAATGCATGTTAGGGAGATTTTCCTGGTGTGGCTGGGAGCGTTCACCCTTTGCAAAGTAGCTGGAAAAAAAATAATGTGCAAGGGCCTATTTTTTCCCCCTTCTTCTCCGTCTTAAGTCCTGAAATGTTTTAGTGACCCAGAATGAAGCTTATTTTTTTTAATCATGCTTCCATAAAATGTAACCCCTGGGACTTGGAAGAGAGAGACCAGCCAAGGGTTAGTCTGAACCCTTTATCACTCCCAAACACAGGGGCTTATGGTATAAGTGACACATTGCAGATAGATTTACTTTTACCATTTTAAATTTATGATGGCTGAAATGAAAGGAAAATGCCCGTAATAATCCTCTCCTGTGTTAAAAGACACGAAACATCTAGTAATTAGGTGGTAACAAAATCTGGACATTCTTATCTTTGCAAATCACACCAGGTTTGTGGGGGCGGGGGGGCAGGGAGTGGAGTGGCCCTGCTCGGGAGTGAGGGAGGCTACTGTGGGGGCTGGTGCGGGAGAGCGAGCTCCGGAAATAAATCTGCCAGCCCTGATGGTTTGCCAGATGTGGAGGGCACCACGGGATATGTTTAAATGAGTTGGTATTTAATGGGAGATTATGTTGAATTGTCAGCTGCTTGCTTCCCTTTGTAAATCTGTATCTCAAATGGTATTTCATGTGACGTCTTTGTTCTCTTCTTAACTGCTGGATAATTCGAGCCTACCTTGGAGATCTGAATCTTAATTTCATGGAACAGACGAATTGGAAGGAAGGACCTTGGTCTCCTGAATTAGTCCCATTTTAGTTTAGAGACAAGGACTTCCTGAAATGTCTCATCAGGCCCACTACTATCTGCTGATGGGCACTGGTTTTTCTGCTTTCTGGTCATCTTTGGCACCTGTTAGGGGGTATTTTTACAAAATGCTAATTCCCGCGAGCTTATTATTTGTTTATTACACCTCCTGTGGTGCCCGAGATGACAATGTGAGTACGGTCCTGGGAAAGCGCTCGCTCACTGCTCAAGGACCCAGAGCCCTAAACCATGTTGTAAAATGGAAGTGTGGATATCTAATTACCTCCATAAACCTTGGTGGAGTCTCTTCGTTGGAGTCAGGACCCCCTGTTTGGGGAAAAATAAAGTCCTATGTTTGCAGAAAAAATATTATACCAGACTGCCCCCAGGCAAAATACTTATTAGCCTTCCTGTGTCTTCACTGTATTTTAGTTACTCATCTGGAGTCTGAGAAAGGGAATGGGGTTTCTGCATACCCAAAATACATCATATTGAAATGAGAACTCGACTTCCTTGCTGTGAAAATTTTTCAGATAACAATTAAAATAGAATGAGAAGAGCAGAGGGCTGGCTGTACAGCTCTGAATGGCTGTGTCTGTGTTGAGTCCCAATTTGCTACACACACACACAGCTTCTGAAGCAAATTCAGTCTTTTTCTTTGAACGTACTAGCTTTTGTCTACATAGAATCCAGACTAATTATTTTTGTTTGGCAATTTAAAAGTCCTCGGTTAAAAAGAAAACAAAAGGAGCAGTATGTATAGAAACACAAGATAGAGAGCCCCACAACAGCAAGTGTTAATGCCCAGAGAGCAAATGTTAACATTTTACTCTATCGGTAGGAGGACAGTTCTACTAAGACATTGTTGTGTGGCACTGTTGTTTTTGAACTTGAAAATAGGGTAGGTAGCCTTTGAAGAGTTCTTTAACTGCCACTTGAGCTGAGAGGTAAACACGGTCACTTTTTAGGAAGCCTGCCCTGCTTCAGAGGAATCAAAAAGCTTGCCTACCCTTCCCATTTTCCAGAAGACTGTCAATACAAGCTAATCAGACCTTAAAAATGGGTCTGTTGCTCAGGAGATTATCAGGGCAGAAAGTCAGGTGCCCTCTAACAGAGTGGGGGCTGCTTGCAAAGCGTGGGCCTGCTGTATAGTAGGTGTGCTTCTCCATCCTGAGAATTTCCTTCCACTGTGTTCCATCTGATTTCTCAGCATGGGGTGTGTGTGTGTGTGTGTGTGTGTGTGTGTGTGTGTGTGTGTGTTTTGCCTTATTTCTAGATTAAGGACTAGGAATCGTTTCCTTTCCCCCTCTTTTTTTTTTTTTTAAAGATTTTATTTATTTATTTGACAGAGAGATCACAAGCAGGCAGAGAGGCAGGCAGAGAGAGAGGAGGAAGCAGGTTCCCCGCCGAGCAGAGAGCCCGATGCGGGGCTCGATCCCAGGACTCTGAGATCATGATCCGAGCCGAAGGCAGCGGCTTAACCCACCCAGGGGTTAAGCCTGGGTGGCTCACCCAGGGTGAGCCACCCAGGCGCCACTCCTTTCCCCCTCTTAACCTGCCTGGTATTCCTCAGTCATGAGATACTTCTGTGTTGTTCTTAAAAACCAAAGCAGGGAATTCATTCTAAACTTCTGAAGTGCTACACATATATACCTATTGATGAGGAACCTAGCGGACCTGAAACTAATGCTAAATTTTCCCTTTGGAACAAGGCCCAAATAAGGAAACTTGGCCCTTTAGTTTGGATTTACAGACCCACCACCAAACTTGAATTCTCTAAGCCTGTAATTAGTCCCTGCTATGTGTCAGGCACAGTGGTAGGCATTATGCAAGGGGCTTACTGTCCGCCTTCTAGGAATTCACAGTGCAGAGTTGGAAGCAGGTGATTAAATGGCTTGCAGTCTGGCATGGTAAGGACAGATAAAAGCCAAAGATGTCATCACTTGCTTTGTTACTGTTGTTGGGGCGGGGCAGTGCGGGGTCATTGAACACTAGGGACATCATGGCCTAGGTCCTGGCAAGTGGGTGCCTAATTTCCATGGAAACGTGTCTTTCCTTATTCTTTGCGTGGCTTCTTCCAATCTGTTCCCATTGCCACCCAAGAAATCATTATGACAACAGGCAGCTGGGGAGAGTTGCCTGGAAGAAATGGCTCTCAAGCTAGGTTGGACTAAACAAATATGCCAAGAATGGTTTTCAGCAAAATTGATGGAAAGAAGAGTGGAGAATGAGAGAAGGATGCTATTTTTATCCCATACCATTTAGATGCTGTCTAGATCCTTGATGCTACTTTCTACTTAGAGTAGGTAGAATTTCTAAGACATGGCCCATATGTTGGATCATTGGATTTTCAACAGTCTCTTTTTGTGATACCATATTACACGTTGAAATAAAGTTCAGAAATAATGCAGCTTCCTTGCATAAATATATTTTAATTCAGTATGCTAGCTTAACTGTAATGGGAAGAAAAAATAAATGTGAAACAAAATAGCCTGTTTCTTACTTGAGCAGGACTATAGGAAAGGGAAGTAATCAGATGTGCGTGCCCGCACGTAAGTCACCTCCATTGGGGTACTCAACAAATGCAGACTGTTAACAGGTGTGTGGCACTGCAGACTCATATACTACCAGTGTGGACTCAAGGCTCACCTCCCCCCAGAAGCCATGGAATATCAATGTGTGTTCATTCTTCATTTGCATAGTTGTTATACTGTACTCTTAGAAATACAGTGGATGTTAAAACTGTGCATGTATGTAAAACAGGCTCTAGGCTCAGATCATTATACACAGGCTTTTCATCTGCATGAATGTCCAGTGGGCCAGTCTTCACTGAGCAAGACTCTGTCTGCATTGCAGGACATCCACCATCCCCGGCCCCCGCTGGCAATCATTATAACCACCAGAAAAAGGCCCCCATAAATTTTCAAATTTCCTGCTAAGTTCTACTGCTTTAGATAATTAAGCTCAGAAGTCTGGGTCCTTCCTGTGGTTTCAGGATTTGGAAATAGGCAGCCAACAATTAGTTTCAAGGTGTTGTTGCTGTTTCTGTGATAACATTTCTGGCCATTGGCTTTGTTGATGACTTTAGAGCAGCGATGTCATTTAACACCAGAAATTGGATGTCACTGACTTGAGTTCTACAGAAGGGAGGTCTAATTTCCATTAAAACATGAATTTCATCTGTCCCTGTGATGCTTCTCCTTGGTCATAGCTGAGCCTGAACTGCTCATCTTAAGGAACAACCAGATTATTCCATAATTTTCATTTTACCTTTTGCTTCTGTTTCCACAGCAGTTACCCAGAGTACTCCCTTATGTTTCCTTATTACTTGGTGCAAATGCCCAGAGTTAATTTAGTGAAGGAAGCTGTGAGGGGTCCTTAACAAGGCTGGCACCATCATCTAGAAAATTCCTTTTGTTAGGATTCTTTTTTATCTTTTCTTTTAGGGCAGTCACTACTTTGTTACTGAAAGAAGGAAAGAAAGAACAGGAAAGAAAGGAAAGGACCAAACAGCTGGTGTTTAATGACTCCGTCAGACCCAATTATAAAACATCAACTACTTACTTTGATTTGTGTGTATCCATGCCATGGGTATACTTAAAAACAGTAGACTCTGCCAGAACTCATTCTGGCTTTGTTTACATTTATCTTTTAAACGTATAAGACTATTGATGGCACCTCACCAAGGTTATAACCCTTTTATAATCATTAATTTTTAATCTGGAAAAGAGTCTTGGGGGCAGCAAGACTCATCTATATTTACTTGGATGCTCAAATGAAAATACACAGGGCTCATGCATTTGTTGGCTAAAACAATCCAGGAAAGCCCTGTCAAAGGTTAGGAATGTGGTATCTTTCTGCTCCCAAAAGCAGCAGCCCTTTATTTAAGATGCTTTTCCATTTAATTTAATTATCCTTGAACTTCCTGTTGAAGGTTTTGAAAAATCCATGTTAGAGGGAGGGGGAGTTCAGCATGTTAAAATTGCCCCATTTCTGAGTTTAGGCCTTTATTTACTCTGTCTTTGGACCCAGTTGGTTTATTGTGTTAAATCACTATTGTCAGTTTCTAAGGGAGACTTGTTTCTACATTTGCACAATTGTGTTCTCAGTTGTTCACAGTTGTCTCTGATTTCCTCAAATTTCTAATTAAGAAAAAAGATGCTAGTATCAGAAATCGAGATTGGCTGCTTCACGTCCTATTTCTTCTTCTTCTTCTTTTTTTTTTTTTTTTTTAGATTCACAGATATTAATGATTCCTCGGGAAAACTGGACTTCAGCCGCCTTTCTCCATCTAAAAATGACTACTGGGCCATGCTGGCTTATAACCGGTCCAAGCTCTGCAACATTCTCTTCTCCAATGAGCTCCACCGCCGCCTGTCCCCACGCGGGGTCACGTCCAACGCCGTGCATCCTGGAAACATGATGTACTCCTCCATTCACCGCAACTGGTGGGTGTACACACTGCTGTTTACCTTGGCCCGGCCTTTCACCAAGTCCATGGTAAGTGAACGGCTTCTGTTGCCGCAAACACCTTCAGTGCACCCTTTCTGGACTCCTGTGTTCTCTTCAGCTTCTTGCGTCTTGTGGTGATGAGTCTGTTCTTGCAAGTCCCATCCTCAGGCCTGTCAGAGCCGTCAGAAAGGGCTTTCGATCATACTTGAGTGGATGTAAATGGCATCTGTTTCTCTAAAGGCTCTTGGAGGGCTGGGTAGTAGATGTGGTTGTCAAGTGTTGCGTTAAGGACGACTGGAAGTCTTGATGGAAATGCTTCTCTCTATTTTGATGCCATTGTTTTATTGCTATTATGCAGAAGGGGTAGTATTTGATAATGGTATTTTGGGTCAGTATGTGAAAAACATGGATTTGTGATCACTGAATTATCAGCAGAAGTGATTCCTTTGTTTCCACTGAGAATCGTTATTTGATGTTCTGAATTCTTCTTTCATGAGTGGAACTCTCATCTGGAGAACCTTTCGTTGGTTGGAAGTGCATTTTATTCTTTACCTCCCCAAAGGTGGGTCCTTTTTGATGAAACACTTCTGTGGTTAGATTTGGAAATGTTCACAAGGTAAATGGGAATTTTTTACATTTTTGATGGTTGTATAACAACCACATCTAGAGACATCTTCCATGAAAACATTTTAATAGAAAGTCTTTTAAATGAACAATGCACATTTTACACAATATATTTGATATGGTATTTTTCTAAACAAGAGGACTTTAAAAACACTCAGAATTAGTGCGAACTAGTACTATTCCACTTAACTAACATCAAGTCGTCAGAAAAGGGCCAGACACATTTTGGGCTTTATAAGTGTCACAAGGCGAAATCATTATCCTGGGGAAAGGCCTCTGAATACGGTTCATTTCTTCCAGTGGCCATTCCCACATATTGTGGGTAAGGCACTTAACCAATCCTAGCCTGATTCCTCACAACTAAGATGACCCTGTGGCTTGGTGGGGGATTGACCATAACGAATATGACATTTTATAATAATGGGTATAGCATTTGTCATGATTTTACTCTGACTATCCAGCATGGTAGCCACCTGCCGTATGTGGCTATGGAGCCCTTGAGAAGTGAATGATACAGGTAAGAAACTGAATTTTTAATTTGATTTTACTTTAATTTAGATTTATAATTCATTTACACTTAAATATTTCAGATCAGAAAACATGGTTAAATAATGTGCCCAGCATGGTGTCTGTGTGTAGTAGGTGTGCAGTATTCCTGTTATGATGGTTGTTATTCTTGTTGTTGTATCACCTTTGGAGAGAACTGTTGCACAAAACGTCATTGTTTGTGTTGCATACAAGGGTCACAGAACTAAGGGAGTCTGTAAGTTGGGAGTCTGGTGGTGGTGTTTTGGGAGGACCTCTGTCTCCGTCCCAGAGGCCCAAAGAGAAGGTTATCGGCACAGTAGGAAGGGTGTCCAGATGAAGAGAGCCTGGTCTTCAACATGTACTTCTGGTCCCCTGGGAAGCCGTAGCAGAATGAAATTTCCATATTCTTGCCTGCCAGTAACTGAGGAACAGCATCTTTTATCTGCCACAAATACACTTTTTAAGATAAGCATATAAATTATGAAGACTATGAAATGTGTATGTAAGTTTTGACTTTTAGGAAATTTCTAATACTGTCTTTATATATTTAGGTCTTGGGTGGTGTTCTTAGCCATCAGAGTTCTAGGACTTGGTTTATAAAGAGTTGGAATGAGAACTAACTTGTCAAACTCACAGCCACTCCCTTCTCATTCCTAAACATTTTGGACTCCGCGCGTGTGGGGGGAGGCATCAGCATGACTGTAACCGGGGATGGGTCTGTGTGACGTGGAACAGACTGGGCTTACTGAAAAGTCGCTCTGATGTTTCATCCTTCTGTATGTGGCTTGACACTCCTTCTGTCACGATAAGACATTTGTTTCATGAATGCAGAGTGCATTTCTACCTTTTTAACACAGATTTGTTTTTGGACATAAGCCGTATAGTTGCATCCTCTCCTGACCCATGTGAAATTTGGGTTCCTAAACGCCTGAAGCTTAGCGTGGATGCAGCATCCTCATCACCACTTGGCTGTCTGTGCCTCCCAGCTCCATCCGCATTTCACTCCAGAAGTATTTCCTTTGATACCAGTACACATGCAGTTGCACAAGGTCATGGAATCCGAAGCACAGCCCAGCCTTGTGCTTGGAGGCTCTGCCTTTGCTCCTCCACTCGAGCTGGCTCCCTGAAGTATTAAGAGTATTCTAGTATCAGTGTCCCTGTTTCATTTGCTGTGACTTGCTGTGACTGTGGTGATTTTAGTTACAGTAATTAGGTCACCCTTCATGGAGTCAGGCTATTTTAAGTGCCTCTTTAAGGAATATTGTTGCAGATCAGTAATTTTACAATTGGATGTTCTTGTGCAACTTTATTAAATGTAATCTGTCTTTTAAATGTTGCCCTTTTACAGTTATACATTTCTAATTGCTGCTGTAAATGCATTATCACTTTGAAATTAATTAATTTTTCCATTTTGGCCGCCTGCAGTATAATAATCACTAATGAGAAACTCATAGGGATTAATCTCAGCACAGCGACCCCTACTGGTAATTCTTTGACTTTGGCATCTCTTCCCTTTGAATTCTGGAGGTCGGGGCAGGTGGATGAGGAGTCTGGGGGGGGGGTCTGGAGGGGGAGGAACATTTGTCTCCCTCCCCTCCAATTTGTGTAAAAATAAAAATAATACATACAAATGGAAATAGGATTTTATTTTTTTAAAGAAAGCTTTGTGTCCAGTGTGGATCTTGAACTCACAACCCCGAGATCAAGAGTCACACACTGCCTCCTAAGCCAGACAGATGCCCTGGGAATAGGGTTGTTTTTAAATATATACAGGATTCTTTAGCTGCTTTTGAAACATCTTAAAGGAAACTAAAGTTTGTTGGGAGCTTTCTGATAACGAAGTCACGTCCATCGTGTGTATATTATGTTACTTTCCTGTCTTTGTAGCTTTCTTTTATGGCATTAAGATACTCTCAATTATATTTTGCATATGTATGTATGAATATACACTGTAAGTATATGTAAAGTGTTCATATATAGGTGTTTCTCCAAGTAACGTAATTTACAAAACCAGACCCAGTGATAGAAAAGACTTTCAAGGGTAATTTTGGCTATTGGTGATTGTTGCCCTGTGTGTTGATTTTAGATTCCTGCCATACACCCAGGTAGGATGCGACTTGGCACTTTAGGCCAGACATCATGATGCTTTATGCCTCAGCATGTGTGTCTTCACGGATTCCTTCCAAAGGCTCTGCAGTTAGAACTATTACCCTCGTTTTGTAGTTAAAAAGCACAGAGGACTTGCCCAGCTTGCCCAAGAGAATGGCATACTCGTCTGCAGACCCTTTAGGGGCTCCTCAGAGTGCCCTTGTTCAGATAACCACAGCGACCCCACCCTGTACATCTCTTCTTGTGCAGTTAGGTTTCCTTTTTAAAATGTTTGAGAGTACCTTCATGAACTTAACCCTCAGCCTTTTCTGCCCCACCCCCCCACCCCCCCGACAAAAACTTTCATTTCTGGTAAACAACATCTGAGCTAGCGTTCCTAGGTCCAAGCCCGCCCTTTGCGGATTGGTATGTAAATTTGAAGCTGAACACTGTCACGTGGCCTCTTAGGGTGTTTTGTGTGACCAAATATTTATGTTGGCAGGTAACAGTAGAAAGAATATCATGTGTTAGGGTAGCAGGAGCTTAGCAGATGTTTTAGGGAACTGCGTTTTCAAATCATTTTACGTTAAAAAATGGCTTGAGTTTGTAGAACTTCTGGAATGATTGAGTTATGTTTCCTGTGGCCGTGTAAAGCCAGTCATTGTGCTGAGTTTTAACAGATGTGCAGCTACCCCGCTAATGGATGGACCTGCAACGCTGGTTCTGTTGCAAAGTTATAAATTATAACTAGGAAAAGCACAAGATGTCATTCTTCTAACCTTCGTGAAAGCCAAGCTGAGTAATTCTGCCCTTGACTAACCCGCTGCAGGGTGATTTATAGTTGTATAATTTAAAACATAATGAAGGAGATAATAGATGTTGATTTGTTCTTTAAATTAGTGTTTTAGAAAAATACTCCCCCCCCCCCCAAATACCTGCAGCTGACTATACTCTAGATATGATCAAGGACAAACCCCATTCGGATCTTTACTGGTGTGCTGGAATGAAATGCAGGGGCCTTTTTCTGTGTTGGGAGGAGGAGATATGCTTTTCAATGTAGAAATTCCAGCATGCTCTCCACTAATGGAAATTATTTCAGGACTCCCGAATGAGGGCTCAGTTCTCTTGCTGCCTTGCTGTTGCCAGTGCAGATATGTTGGAAAACTAGACTCCTGAGACCCCACCGTGGTCCGGCCGCACTTGACCTTTCCTGCAGAACCCCGAAGAAGGACCTAGAGGCAGCGTTCTTCCTGCTGAGGTCACATCCCTGTGGCCTCACACATTCTTCTTACTTTCCAGGATTATCATTGGCATTGGTTTTATTAGCCACCTCTGATTCTGTTCAGAGCTTTAAAATTAACAGTATTTGCTCAGTTTGGCGTCCAAGGGTAATGGTAGCGTGAAAAAGAGCAAAGGATTTAAAAACATTACGCCTGTATTCAAAGCGCAACATTTCCACCGCTTTTCATTATATAATTTTGAAATGCTTCCGTCTTTGTGAGGCTCATATTCTATGTCAGTTTTCATGTTTTGGACTGTGAGTTATTAACACCCAGTTAAAAGTGTTTGGAGTAATAGAGGTTTGTTTTTCCTCATATATCCAGAAATCCAGAGGCTGCCAAGGGTATGTTTAGCTACTGTATAGGAAGCTCCTTTGTGATTGTCTTGGCTTTTCCCTCATGCTTATAAGATGGCTGCAGTAGCACCAACCATTGCATCCTCTGTGATGACGTCTGAAGGTAGGATGGAAGGGATGGGACCCCTCTTTACATGTCTCAAGGATAAGAACATTCTATCTCAGAACTGTC